ATTACTTATTTTCTAAAACTTGTTATAGGTTTATTCAGATTTTATATTTCTCTTTGAAAAAAAAAAAGATTTATTGAATGGGAGGGAGGGCAGAATAAAGTATTTCTGTGTTCCTGAATCTATATATGTGAAATACATGAAATTTGTATACCTTAAATAAAATTTTTTTAAAAAATCAACTATAAAAAAAAGAGTTTATTTTTTTGAAAGGCAGAGTTACAGACAGAGACAGAGACAGATATCTTCCATCTGCTGGATAACTCCCCAAATGACCATATGGCTGGTGCTGGTCTGATCTGAAGCCAGGAGCTTCACTGGGGTCTCCCATGTGGGTATAGGGGCCCAAGCACCCCGGGCCATCCTCTGCTGCTTTCCCAGGCGCACTAACAAGGAGCTGGATGGGAAGTGGAGCAGCTGTTTCTTGAACTGGCGCCCATAGGAGATGCCAGCACCATAGACGACGGCCTTCCCACTATGCCACAGCATGAGCCCCAGAGTTAGTTTTTATAATCTGTGTCTTTTAGGAATTTACCCGCTTCATCACTGAAGCGGGTATCATCATTGTTGATATAAGGTCGTTCAAGTTACTTCCTTTTAATTCCTGTGAGGATCAATAGTGATGTCCCCTCTTTAATTCCTGACTTTGATACTGTGTCTTTTCTCATTGGCCAGTTTTGCTAAGTGTTTTTTGTATTTGCTGATGTTTTCCAAAAATTATTGGTATCATTTTTTCTCTTTATCTGCTTTTTATTTCATTGATTTCCATTCTAATCTTGTTATAAATTCTGCTTGCTTTGGACTTAATTTGCTTTTTTGGAGGTCCGGTGCTGTGACGTAGTGGGTAAAGCTGCTGCCTGTGCTGCCAGCATCCCATATAGGCGCCAGTTCAAGTCCTGGCTGCTCCACTTCCAATCCAGCTCTCTGCTATGGCTTGGGAAAGCAGAAGATGGGCCAAGTTCTTGGGCCCTTGCACCTATGTGGGAGACCTGGAAGAAGCTCCTGGCTTCTGACTTCCGATCAGTGCAGTTCCAGCCGTTGCAGCCATTTAGGGTGTAAACCAGCAGATGGAAGGCCCCCTCTCCCCCTTTCTCTCTGCCTCTGCCTCTCTGTAATTCTGTCTTCAAATAAATAAATAAATCTTTAAAAAAATTGCCTTTTTTTTAAAGATATAAGCATTGGGTACTAATTTGATACCTTTCTTCTTTTCTGATATGAAAGTATAAATTTTGGGGACCAGCATTGCGGCAGGGTAGGTTAAGCTGCCACCTGCCAGGCTGGCATCTCAGAGATGCTGGCATCCTATATTGGAGCACTGGTTCCAGTCCTGGCTGCTCCCCTTCTGATCCATCTCCCTTGCTAAACTCCCAGGGAAGGCATTAGATGATGGCCCAAGTACTTGGGCCTCTGCCACCCATGTGGGAGACTTGGATGGAGTTCCTTGTGTTGGCTTGGCCCAGCCCAGGTGGTTGAGGCCATTTTGGGAATGAACTAGCAGATGGAAGATCCTTCTTCCCTTCCACCTTCCCTCCCTTTCTCTCTCTCTCTGAAGCTTTGCCTTTCAAATAAATAAATTTAAGTAAATGAATAAATCTTAAAAAAATAGAGTTCCTTAATAAAAAAAAGCACTATAGATTTCCCCTTTACCTTAGTGCATTGTATAAATTTTACGGTTGTGTTTTCATTGTCATTCAGTTGAAAATAATTTTTAATGTCCCATTTGGTTGCTTCTTTGCTCCATAACTTAATTAAGAGTATGCTTATTTTGTAAAATTTCTACAACTGGCACTGTGGCACAGTGGGTTAAGCTGCTGCCTGCAGCTCTGTTATCCCAAATGGGTGGTAGTTTGAGTCCCGGCTGCTCCACTTCTGATCCAGCTCCCTGCTAATGTGCCTGGAAAAGTATCAGAAGATGGCCCAAGTGCTTGGGCCCCTGCACCACATGAAAGACCTGAATGAAGCTCCCTGGCTTTTGGCTTCAGTCTGGCCCAGCCTTAGCTATTGCAGCCATTTGGGGAGTTAATCAACGGATGGAAGACTTCTTTTTCTCAGCCTCTGCCTCTTCTTCTCTGTAACTCCGCCTGTCAAATAAAAGAAACAAACAAAAGAAGATACTTTCACATATTTTTTTCTTTTGTGATTTTCACCTTTCTTTGTGGTCAGAAAGTACATTTATGATGGTTTTAATCTTTTTAAAGTAATTAAGCTATTTATATCCTAGAATGTAGTCTCTCTTGAAAATTGTTCCAATGTGCTTACACAGAATATGTATTCTTTTGTTATTTAAAATGTTAGATTAATGTATGGCAATGATATGAATCTTCGAGAGAATAGTAGAACAAATGTAATATTGCACAATATTCATGGGTAATAGACTTTATAGTATAAATATAGCAATTCCTGTTAAAATTCTTGTAAAGATGTTTAAAAATGTAGCTTAATACTTTTATTTAAAATTTTATATGGAAAATCAAACACAAAGCAATTTACAATTAAAAATTAGGAATCTAAAAGATGGTAGTGTTGGATATTTCCATACCCATTAGCAAGATATTTTATAGAGGTGTAGTCATAATAACAGTACCATTGGTCGGGAATGAACAAATATAGTAGATTAATGAAGCAGAGCATTGAAGTCACCCAGAGACATAGGCTTATACATGGTAACTTAAAGTATGATTGAAATGGCATTACAGTTTATTTGAGTGTTATAAATCCCTAAAGAGTTAGTAATACGATGGCTTAACCATTTGGGAAAAAACAAATTCTGTTCTTCCCACACACAGAAATAAATATCTTCTGGATTTCAAGACTTAAATGTGAAAAGCAATATTTTAAACTTTTTGAAGAAAATACTTGTTTTATTGTTCCAACATTAAAGTAGAAAAAGTAAGTATACATAAAAAAAGGAAAATATCAGAGATTGGATTGTATTAAAATTTACAACTTTTATGAATCACAAAATACCTCCTCCCCAACAAAAACATGACTGAGATATTAGTCATGAGAAGATACTTCCAATCATGGAACTGCCATAGAATTAATAATCAGTATGTATAAGGAACTCCTCATATTAAAATAAGAATCCAGCTGAAAACCATAGAAAGGATGTTCAGGAAATATGTGGAAACTTGAATGGTCAAGTGAGAAGATGATTACTGTCACTAGGAAACATTAAGTGAAAACAACATCATGATGCTTATTTTTGGCTTGTCAAATATTAGAGCATCTGTCGGTGTTTTCTACTGCCAAGCAATGTGGTACCAGAGTGCTCCTGTACTGCTGATAGTACTATTAATTGTCACAGTGACTTTGCAGAAAATTTTCTGACAAATGGTGAAGTTTAAATTGGTAATTTCATTCTTATACATATACCCTGGGAAAGTTCATACATGTACAGGGAATTGTGAATAAGAACATTTATCAAAGCATTCGTAATACATCACAGTAAATTTGAAAAGACACCAAGTATCCCAGTGTAAGGAAGATAAATACATTGTTATATGTCCATACTGTGGAATAGTATACAGCAATTAAAATGAATCAACTAGAGCTACATAAATCAGTATAAATTTCAGAAGCTGATGTTATATATGAAAAGTAGTTTATAAATGTCTTGTGGTACCATTTATATAAGATCGATTTGAGAGGCACAGAGACAGAGAGCTCCCATTTTCTTCTTCATGCCCTAGATGCCTGCCGTAGCTATTTTAGGGCCTGACTGACACTGGGAACCAGGAATTCAGTCCAGGATGTGGGCTACAGACACCCAGTTACTTGAGCCATCACCTGCTACTTCTCAGGATGCACATTAGCAAGAAACAGACTAGGGTCACAGCCATACGTAATATGGGAATCCCAAGTGATATCTCTACTACTGCACCAAAAATCTGCCTCTGTATAAAAGTTTTAAACATGTAAACCAATTCTATATTTTTAAAATGGATTTACAAATATGTAAATTGCTATAAAATATTTTTGAAATGATTAGTGCCAAAATACAGATAATGGACTCCTTTGAGGAAGAAAGGAAGAAAATGATTAGAAATGTACAGAAGTGAAAATTTTAAATTGTGCAGACATGGAACTCTGTTTAGATTTGTTCATACTGAGTAGTGGACTGCTGGGTGTTTGGATTTTATTTTCAGTATTTTACTATAGATGTCAAATGTTTCATAAGTTAGGAAATATATATTGAAGACATTTTGAAACTTGAAGCAATTAGTGGGGCCAGCGCTGTGGCGCAGCAAGTTAACGCCCTGGTCTGAAGCGCCAGCATCCCATATAGGTGCTGGTTCGAGACCCGGCTGCTCCACTTCCAATCTAGCTCTCTGCTACTGCCTGGGAAAGCAGTAGAGGATGGCCCAGGTCTTTGGACCCCTGCACCCGTGTGGGAGACCTGGAGGAGGCTACTGGCTCCTGGTTCCGGATCGGCACAGCTCCAGCCATTGCGGCCAATTGGGAAGTGAACCAGCGTTTGGAGGACCTCTCTCTCTCTCTCTCTCTCTCTCTCTCTGCTTCTCCTTCTCTCTCTCTCTAACTCTGACTTCAAATAAATAGGTGAATCTTTCAAAAAAAGAAGCAATTAGGATAATGGAAATATTTGTTAGGAAATACTAGACTTGTGCATATCCAATATGAGGTTAATTAAGTGGAGATTTTTTTTGTAGTGGATTTTATTTGTATTAGAGTTTAATTATATTCTTCATCTAAATAAGAGATGTACAGTAAATTATTCAGTTAAATGCAGTTCAGGGTCTACATTTTTTCCATAAAATAAATCATGTTTAATTATTTTAAACCATCTTTTAAAAGGTGATTTTTTATATATGTATATACCTCTCTAGTCCCAAGTATGGCTAGAGAGATATCAAGGTCACCAAAAATAATCTGAATATTGCCAGAGGTCTTTGTTTAAAAGTGTTTCCAAGTCTGACTGAGAACTCTTGACATTTAGAAATAAAAAGAAAATGTGAATATTTAAAATCATATTTTCTTTTCAGGATTGATTTTGAAGAAACTGCTTCACACAGGAAACTCTTTAAAGGTATATTTACTTTCTATAACTTTCCGAAAACAGCATGATTACATCACTTTTCCTAAATGTTATTGAATTGTCTTCAGTTTACTTAACTGAATTCACTTAAAATACAGAAACAAATGCAGTATATGTGAAAATTTGTCCTAGATTGACCAGGCCATTGAAAAATGAGTATTTTGCCACTACATTCACTAAGTCAGCTGAATGTGAGTTCTTCAGAAGAAAAAAATTTAGTCAATCAACAAATTACTACTCATCTTACTTGTAACCATTCCCAAGTGTAGAAAAAAGGAAGGGATAGATATATAAATGTTGGGCTTGTTTCATTTTCCATATCTCACTCATGCTGTGGGAGATGCTTACACTAAAAGCATATTGCTGTAGGTTAGGTACAGTCACATATTACAGGTATTTTTGGTAGCAAGGCTTGGGTACCCCAGTATAAAGGAATAAACCTGTTTCTCATTTGATTTCAGATTAGGCGAGAAGGTGTTCGTCTTTTCCTGCTGTGGTTGCAAGCTCTTCAGAACAACTGCAGCAAAGAGCAGCTCTGGATGTTCTCCTGCTTAATTCCTGGATTTTTAGCACCGCAGTCTGAACATGGACCTCGAACTTTAGATAATCTCATTAATCCTCCACTCAACCTTCAAGAAAGTAAGACTCATGAGATGTTAGTCATCAGTATTTCTAAGTTTTCTGTGTACTCTGTTTGTGTGCTTCTTGAATCTGTGTTAACTGAGTAATTCAAAGCAATATTTTAAGTGTAGGTTTTATTATTTGTATATGGTAAGGCCAACAGATCAAGAGGATTGAAAAGAGAGTTTGCTGCAGTTCCCAAGAGGAAGGGAAGGGGCTATGTAGGGAAGTACAGTGCAGGGCGGAGGACAGAGGACTCAGGAAAGTGTGTGCACGAACCGTTACTGTGGTTCCCCGGGAAGGAGCAGGCAAACAGCATGAGCAAACTTGGACGTTTTAGACTCATGGCAGGGAGCTCTGAGGCATCAAGGTTGTCCCTGGTCTACAGGGCCTGACTGTGGGCATTAGGACAGGAGTACTGGCCCTGAGTGTGACTGCAGGGGAGCGCGTGGCGTGGGCTCTGCATTGGCTGGCTGGGAGGTGAAGTGCTCTTTCCAAGGCTGATCGGATGCTGTCTCCAGAAATTGGCAAACACTGTGCAGAGCATTCTCTCCAGAGCCTGCAAGGCCCTAGATGTTTAAACACTGGAAGCATGGTTAATACAGACCATTTTTTACATTTATCTTTGTTTTCTGTTTTACCGTGTATCTTGGAATGTGTATGCTCATTGAAATATAAGTGTTTTACTTTTTTTTTTTTTAAGATTTATTTATTTATTTGAAAGGCACAACTTCAGAGAGGGAGAGACAAAGGCAGAGAGACAAAGAGACAGAGATCTTCAAACTGCTGGCTCACTCCCCAAATCGCCACAATGGCCAGGATTGGGCCTGGCCAAAGCCAGGAGCCAGGAGCCTCGAGCCTCATCCAGTCTCCCACTTGGGTGCAGGGGCCCAAACACTTGAGCCATCTTCCGCTGCCTTCCCAGCACACTAGCCAGGAGCTGGACTGGAAGTGGGGCAGCCCGGATTCCAACTGATGCCCATATGGCATGCTGACTCCACAGGAGGTGGTGGCCTTACCCCCTGTGCCACAGCTCAGGTCCCAGTGTGTTTTGCTTTATACAATAGATGACTTTAAAGATATTGTATATGAGTTGAATTTTTATAAATTCCTAGTAGTATTTTTATTTATAAATTATAAATGTATTTATAAAGTTTATTTTTAAGTTTATAAATTTATTTATAATTTCAGAAATTCTGTTTTTATCTTTAATGAGTCTTGTTGCTATTTACTTTCAATTTTTCTGATTTTTTTCCTTCTTTAGTTCTTCCTGTATTGATACAGATATTTAAAGAACTTAATTTTGCTTTTTGTTTTATACACAAAGACACACAAGTATTTTCCTTTTCTCTGATTAACAAAAATTTGTCATAAATAGTACTATTTGGAATCTTCAAAAACTTCATGAAAATGTGCACTTAAGAAGGCTATACATGGATTGCAAATTTTTTGCACCATAGTAAACTTGTCTTTTAATTTCATTTTCCCACATTTTAAAATACTCTCTTTTTTAAGCTAGAGCTGCCATAACAAAATATCACCAACGGGGGCCAAAGCCATGGCGCAGTAGGTTAATCCTCCACCTGCAGCTCTGGCATCCCATATGGGCTCTGGTTCTAGTCCTGGCTGCTCCTCTTCCCATCCAGCTCTCTGCTATGGCCTGGGAGGGTGGTAGAGGATGGGCCAGGTGCTTGGGCCCCTGCACCCATGTAGGAGACAGAGAAGAGGCTCCTGGCTCCTGGCTTCGGATTGGCTCAGCTCTGGTCATTGCAGCCATTTGGGGAGTGAACCAATGGAGGGAAGACCTTTCTCTTGTCTCTTCCTCTCACTGTACCTCTACTTCTCAAACAAATAAATAAATAAAATCTTTAAAAAAAATCACTAACTGTCTGGCTTAAACAAAAGTTTATTATCTTATATTTCTAGAAGTAGAAAGTCCATGTTTAAGAGGTTTGATATTTGATGATGCTCTCTTCTCACATGCAAAGTGCACCTTTAAAAATTATTTATTTATATATTTTATTTATTTGAAAGATAGGGACACAGACATCCTCCATCCTCTGATTCACCCCCTAAACGCCTGCAGTAGCAAAGGTGGGAGCCTGGAACTGAATCTGGGTCTCCCTTGTGGAGAACAGAGACTCAGGTACATGAGCTGTCACCTACTTCTTCCTAGGATGTGCATTAACAGGAAACTGGGATTGGAAGCAGAGCCAGGACTGGAACCCAGGCACTGATAGGGATGCAGGTGTCCCAAGTGGCATCTTAACTGCTGTTCTAAATGTCTGCCCTAGACTGCATGTTTTTGCTACATCTTCACCTGGCCTTTTCCCTGTGCATTTGGATGCATGAATACATGGACAAAGAGCAAGCCTTTTGGTATCGTTCACTCCCCAAATGGCTGCAGTGGTCAGAGTTGGGTGCATCTGAAGCCAGGAGCCAGGAGCTGCTTCTGCATTTCCCACGCAGATGCGGGGGCCCAAGCGCTTGGACCTCTTCCACTGCTTTCCCAGGCCATCAGCAGGGAGCTGGATTGGAAGTGGAGCATGCAGGACTCGAACCAGCACCACAGGCGGAGGCTTAACCTACTACACCATAGCACTAGCCCCTAAGTTGTAATTTCTATAAATTTAGATTTTGCAATAAATTAAACTACACCTGAAGCACAAAATTTTACAAACAGTACCACATTGGTGTAAAATCTATAAATGAACTAGTTCAAATAGGCTGTTTATACTATTTAATATTTTAATATTTGATATTAATATTAATATTGAAAAATTTTAGAGTATTTATATTTTCTTCTGCATCTCTCTAACCATGTCATAGTGTAAATTTCTTTCCTCTCTTTTTATAGCTTTTTAAAAAATTGTTAGTTTCAACTGCATTTGTAAGTGACTTTACTCCTTTTTATGAACAGAAGTTTTGGCATAGCAAGTAAAGCTACTGCCTACAGTGTCAGCATCCCATATGGGAGCTGGTTTGAGTCCCAGCTTCTCCACTTCCAGTACAGCTCCCTGCTAATGTATCTGAGAAAGCAAGAGAGGATGGCCCAAGTTCTTGTGTCCCTGCACCCATGTGGAATACCTGAAGAAACTCCTGGCTCCTGGCTTTGGCCTGGCCCTGCCCTGGCCATTGTGGCCATTTAGGAAGTGATCCAAGTGGATGAAAGATCTCCCTCTTTCTACCTCTGCTTCTCCCTCTCCATAATTCTGCCTTTCAAATAAGTAAAAAAATCTTAAAAAAAAAATTGAAGTTTTGTTTTCTACTCTACAAGACATGGAAGTATGGGTATGTGTTCCTCAATATGGACTAAGAAGATCTTAGGGAAGAAGGCCAGTCACTTTTAGTGGGATTTTTATAGCTTCACAAAGTATGGCATTCATAAAGTATATTTTTCTGTGGGGACAGAATGGTCCAGGAAATTCAGAGTACACATGATAAAAGTTGTATTTTTAAAGTATAATTTTTCAAAAAAGAATATTAGGAGTAACATACCATGCATTTTGTCAGAACTTAAACCTACCTCTGTTGTGAACTTACTTAGTTGGCTCAAATTTATTGAAAAATAGGTTTAAACTCTTGTGTGTGTTAAACCAGTACTGCTTAGGATATATTCGAAAGAATTCCGCTAGTTGTGGATTGATTTTTTGTATTTATTACAATGAATGTTTTCGCATTTCTGAAAAGTAAAAAAATAAAAATTTCTTTTCCTGTGATCAGATTATTACCTTTTGATGAATATGCATTCTTGCTAATATTTCTTATCATACTGTGTAATTTTTGTAATGGACTTTTTTTTTAAAAAAAGATTTATATATTTATTTGAAAGGCAGAGTTACAGAGAGAGGGAGAGACAGAGAAAGAGATCTTCTTCCACTGGTTCACTCCCTAAGTGGCTGCAACAGCCAGGGCTGGGCCAGACGTAAGTGAGGATTCAGGAGCTTCATCTGGGTTTCCCATGTGGGTGGCAGGGAACCAGGCACTTGAGCCGTCTGCTGCTATTTTCCCCAGCATGTTAGGGAGCTGGACTGGAAGTGGAGCAAACCAGTATCCATGTGGGATGCTAGCATCACAGGTGGCAGCTTAACCCACTATACCTCAATGCCAGGCCCTGTAATGGACACTCTTAATGTGAACTTTAAGAGGAAAGGTTCTTTCCCTAGTAAGATGGTAGTAAGATGGTATGTACTTTTTTTTTTTTTTTTGACAGGCAGAGATAGACAGTGAGAAAGAGAGACAGAGAGAAAGGTCTTCCTTTCATTGGTTCACCCCCTAAATGGTTGCTATGGCCAGCGCGCAGCGCTGATCCAAAGCCAGGAGTCATGTGCTTCCTCCTGGTCTGCCATGCGGGTGCAGAGCCCAAGCACTTGGGCCATCCTCCACTGCCTTCCTGGGCAACAGCAGAGAGCTGGACTGGAAGAGGAGCAACCGGGACAGAATCTGGCACCCCAACTGGGATTAGAACCCGGGGTGCCGGCGCCGCAGGTGGAGAATTACCCAAGTGAGCCTTGCTGCCGGCCCATGTTATGTACTCTTAATCATTGTATATATGTTCGTACCTGTTTCACAGTCTCTTAATCAAGTGTTCTCAAAACACCTGATTATTCAAGTTTATGGTTGTTGTGGTGGAGCATCAAGAATGATTTCAGATTTATTTCAAGTTTCAAATACTAGAAAGTTTTCCAGCAGTTTTTATTGCCTATATGTTTTACGGTTTAATTTTATTTTGTAATTGTGTTACTAAATTTATTTTGTAATCGTGTTATTGTTTTGTCTTTGAATAGCTCAAGTCACTATAGAAGAAATCACTCCTCTTGTTCCCCCACAATCTGGAGATAAAGGACAAGAAGATCTCACAAGCTATTTTCTTGAAGCACTTTTAAAATATATAGTAATTCAGGTATGTATTGCCTTCTTTGATGTCATCTCCTTTATGATCCTTCTTCTGATCCTTTTATTTGTAATCAGCAGCTGTGATACTTTATGTGAAAAGCTAATAACAATTTAATTTAGGGATCAATCTGCCAAGATCTAAGTGGGCTGCAGGATAGGGAATGGGGGGCAATGTAATTTACATTAAAACTTATTTGTTCCTTTTGAATTTGTAGGTACACGTATGTTATATAGCTTAGATACTAAATGTACATGCTCTGATTGACTGATGAGTGCACTGTTGGCACATACACTTTTTTTTTAACTGTTGTAAGTGCAAAGTTTCCTATTAGAAACATATAAAGTAAATTTCATCCCTGAATAAGATTTCAAGTTTGAATCCTGATTGCATATCTTAAAATGAGTCCATTGGTAAATTTCTTAAACATTCTATGCTTCTGTTTCCTCATTTGTAAAGTAATGATAAAATAATAACTAACCCATTTTGATGTTTGAAGCTGAGATATTGCAGAGTGCTCTAAGTGCTCAGTGCACATAGTGCCAGTTCTATAGTGGGTAGTTGTTACTGTTGTCATTAATGTTACTAGTTCTCCTTTTAAAACAAGCTTTTGTATTGCATACAGATTTTTAAAATCACGATTTATTGGGTACAGTTGGTACAGCCGATGCAAGTTTTGATACATGTGTACACCTGTGACCCCATCCCTGCAGCCAATATAATGAATGTATCCGTCACCTTGAAAGTTTTCCTGGGTCCTTTTTAATCCACCCTTTTGAACTCCCCCAACACACACTTCTGCAGGCCACCATTTTCTGATTTTTGTTAATTTGTGTTTTCCATGTTTTCATATAAATGGAATTATGTGGTATGTTTTCTTTTTTGGTATGCCTTCTTTCTTGTCAGCAAAATTATTTTAAGAATTACCTGTATTGTTATTTGTAGCAATAGTTTGCTGCTTTTTATTGCTGAGTAGCATTCCATTGGATATGTCACAAATCTGTTATTTGGTAACCTGTTGATGGTCATTTGAGTTGTCTCCAGTTTTAGGCAATTAAAACTTCTATAATATTGGTAACCAGGTCTTTGTGTGGGCATAGCTTTCTTCTTCCTTGGGTAAATATCTAGGAGTAGTATGGCTAGATCATATAGTAGATATATAAGGGGTCATCGGAAAGTTCATGGGATATATGTATTAAGAATAATGTAGGGGGGCTGGTGCCGTGGCTCACTTGGTTAATCCTCCACCTGTGGGGCCAGCATCCCTTATGGAAAGCCGGGTTCTAGTCCTGGTTGCTCCTCTTCTAGTCCTGTTCTCTGCTGTGGCCCAGGAGGGCAGTGGAGGATGGCCCAAGTGCTTGGGCCCCTGCACCTGCATGGGAGACCAGGAAGAAGCACCTGGCTCTTGGCTTCAGATTGGCTCAGTGCCAGCCATAGCGGCCATTTTGGGGGTGAACAACGGAAGGAAGACCTTTCCTCTCTGTCTCTCTCTCTCACTGTCTAAAACTCTACCTGTCAAATTAAAAAAAGGAAAAAGAAAAAAAAGAAAAATGTAGGAGCCGGCGCTGTGGCGTAGTGGGTAAATAGCCGTTGCCTGCTGTGCCAGCATCCCATATGGGTGCCAATTCGAGTTTTCGCTGCTCCACTTCCCATTCAGCTCTCTGCTGTGTCCTGGGAAAGTGGTAGAAGATGGCCCAAGTGCTTGGGCCCCTCCACCCGTGTGGGACACCTGGAAGAAACTCCTGGCTCCTGGCTCCGGATTGGCGCAGCTTCAGCCGTTGCGGCCATCTGGGGAGTGAACCATTGGATGGAAGACCTCTCTCTCGTTCTCTCTGCCTCTCCTCTCTCTGTGTAACTCTGACTTTCAAATAAAATAAAATAAAAATTCTTAAAAAAAAAAAGTGGCTTTATTGAGGTAGCATATATACACCATAAAGTTCAGCACTTAAAATGTATTGTTCATTTTTTTTTAAAGTATGTTCACAGGGCTGTGCAATCATCACCACAGTATAATATTAGAACTTTTCAGTCCTCTAAATAATGAACTCCATTCCTTTTAGGAGTTGGTCCAGCTATCTCCCAACTCTTCCATCCCTAGCCCTAGGCAAACATTAATCTATTTTTTTGTTTCTATTTTCCTATTGAGGACACTTCATATAAATGGAATCGTGCGAATACAATATGTAGTCTTTTTTTGACTAGCTTCTTAGGGAATGTTTTTAAGATTGATCTATGCTGTAGCATATATCAGTACTGCATTCCTTTTTATTGCCGAATGATATTCTATTATGTGTGTGTTCCACATTTTGTTTATTCATCTGTTGATAAGTATGTGAGTTGTGTTTACTTACTATCCAGCAGGTAATATTTTAATTCCTTACTCTTTATTTTTAATGTTTATTTTCACTTACTTGAAAGAGTGACAGAGACACACACACAGAGTGGTGGGAGGAGAGAGAGATGTCCCATCCTTTGGCTTATTCCCCAAATGCCCACAACAGCCAGGGCTGGGCCAGGCTGAAGCCAGGAGCCTGGACTCCCTCTACAACTCCCATGTGAGTGGCAGGGGCCAAAATACTTGCGCCATCGTCTGCTGCCTCCTGTGATGCACTAGCAGGAAGTTGAATGGGAAGCAGAATAACTGGGTCTTGAACTGGCGTTGTGACATGAGAAGTGGGCATCCTGAGCTGCGACTTAACCTGCTGTGCCACAACACCTGCTCCGTTACTTTTCATTTTAACTCATTACGTCTGCACTCAAGAGTTGCTGAAGTACTGTAGGAAAAGTCTTTGTCCTCTCCCTATTTATTGATTCTTCTCAACATGGGTTTATGGTTTCCTATGAATCCATGCGTTAAAAGCTCGTTTCTTTTACTTACTTTGATGCTCAGATTGTCCTAGATCTGGGCAGAGTTCCTTCAAGCTGATTCCTGTGCTTTTTGTTTTGTCTGCATTATTGTTTGAGCACTTCCTAATTTCCTGGTTCAGCAAGATGTAGCCTCATCTCATACCTTCCTTGCCCTGTAATCTGCTGTTTCTCTAATGAGCCATTATTCATTTTGGTGGAGAACTGTATTTAGAATTGATCTGGACACTTAGAGTGTTCATTGCTGTTGGGGTGTTAGCACTCCTGGACCTTGTCAGTCACCAGAGATAGGGAATATATACATATATACACATGCAGATACACAGAAATTCAGATTCCTGTCTGTCTCACTGCTGTGGTATGGCCCTTGGCTAGGCTTGGACTGTATTTTTGTCTTCACAAGAGTAGAAATTCAAAGAAGAGACATAGATAAAAGTCAGCTGGAAAGCAAGATTTATTTATAAGCAAAGTGAAGGTACACACTCAGGCAAAACTCGGGAGAGAGAATTGGATTCTACAAGATTTATGGTTTCCGTTTTATACTATATGGAGGCATAGGGGGTGGTGTCTGGGGTGGTCTTATTTGAATATTCAAGGAGGGCAGAATTTGGGATAGAGTTTGAGTGCTGCCCATTTGTGTACCCTTTTTTTGGGGGAAGGGGAGAAATCTTAGAAAAGTGTGTGTATGATGGGAGTGGGAGTCTCAGCCCTGGTAGTTGTATTATAAACTGTAATGACCTAAAGATCATTGCTGGACTCTGGCCTTAGAATCAGCGCTTAAGACATTCGGATCTGGCTAAAAAGCCCATGAGAGTATATCAGGCATGGAAAGCCAAGCACTCTGGCAAAAAATGGCCTAAATGAAAGATCTCTGTGAGTGAGATCCTGGTGGAAAGAAGGGGCCATGAAAGAAGGAGGTACCATTCTCTGAAGGAAGGAAAGAACTTCCACTTTGACTATGGCCTTGTCTAAATAAGGTCAGAGTTTGTGAACTCAAGAGGCTTCCATAGCCTTGGCAGCTCATGACAAGAGCCTCGGATGATTACTGACGTCATAAATAAGAGTGTCAGTTGTTTAATCAACAACAGGGATCACTGTGCACTTGCTCTCCATGTGGGACCTCTGTCCTTAATGTGTAGTACTATGCAAATTAACAGTAAAACTAATCTTCAAACAGTACTTTATACTTTGTGTTTCTGTGTGGATGCAAACTGTTGAAATCTTTACTTAGTATATACTAAGTTGATCTTCTGTATATAAAGATGATTAAAAATGAATCTTAATGAAGAATGGGGTTGGAGAGGGAATGGGAGATGGGAGGGTTTGCGGGTTGTACTTTTGAAATTGATATTTATTAAATAAAAATTTTCTATTTAAAGAAAAAGGATCAGGGCCGGCGCCATGGCTCAATAGGCTAATCCTCCACCTTGCGGCGCCGGCACACCGGGTTCTAGTCCCGGTCGGGGCGCCGGATTCTGTCCCGGTTGCCCCTCTTCCAGGCCAGCTCTCTGCTATGGCCAGGGAGTGCAGTGGAGGATGGCCCAAATGCTTGGGCCCTGCACCCCATGGGAGACCAGGAAAAGCACCTGGCTCCTGGCTCCTGCCATCGGATCAGCGCGGTGCGCCGGCTGCAGCGGCGGCCATTGGAGGGTGAACCAACGGCAAAGGAAGACCTTTCTCTCTCTGTCTCTCTCTCTCACTGTCCACTCTGCCTGTCAAAAAAAAAAGAAAAAGGATCATTGCTGGAACACATCCTGCAGCCATATTGGGGATTTCTAATTGTACTTGAGTCTAGGATTTGCAACATCACCTAAGTTGGAGTTTCTACTACATGGAAAGCAACAGAGTTTGATGCTGCATGGAGAGAGAGGTTTGGGTGGTGTGAAGAAAAGGGGTTTGAATAGTGCACATGGGGCTGTCACCCGGGCCATGCTGCCACACATCTACCTCACTGCCTACATCATCGTTATGCCAGTACCCCAGATTGCAGTCTATTATCACAGGGTTCTTCCTTTCCATGTGAGAAACCTGGCTGATATTATTCTCAGTATATTATTTAATCAGTCCTTATAGGTAAGCAGTGACTCATTACCACCATTACCCTGCAGAAATTCTCCTTAACTGAGCTGGACTCTAGTACTCGCCTCTAGGTCTTAATCAGCGCCTACTTAGATATCTTCGTACCCTGCTAGAGTTACATTCTCCTGCTGTCTCTCCTACTTCTCCCCCAACTTTGTGAACACCCTCTGCATCCCTCCCAGGCTCTGAGTCACTGGGCTACTGCCTCTCCTACCACTCCCTTCGTGGAGGCTCAGCTTCTGTGCTCAGCTTCTGCTTAACTGCACCTGACTACTGCCGCTCCTCACATAGGCAGCTATGTGTGTGTTCTCACGCACACATACATCCCTGGAGATGGACGCTTATTTGCATGCCTTTTAGTTGAATTTATTCAGATAGAGAAAAGAGGAAGGAACATTAGTAACTTTATTGTTGGAGCCAAAATTTTCACTTTTTCAGAAAACATTTGAACTTCTTAGATTTTGAAATATTTATAATGTATGTGTATATTGGATCAGCTTTAAAGATTTTTCCTTTTGCCATGCTGATCTTCATAGTGGAACAGTGTATTTGTAATTTTTAGAAGCTTGTTTCTAGTAGCTCATAATTGTATCGAAATGATTCTTTCTCTGATGATTCTAATTATGTTTATTTTTAGGTGAAAAGTTTAGAATGGAAGAACAAAGAAAACCAAGAAAGAGGATTTTCATTTCTGTTTTCACATTTTAAAAAATATTACTTACCCTACATTTTCCCAAATATCTGTAAGGAGAACAGTTTATATCATCCTGTACTTGGTAGGTAGTATTTGGAATTTTATAAAAGATCACTCATAATAGTAAAATAACTCTCATTATGAAGTTGGCGTTTGTTATCTGTAGAAAACTTATCACTCTAATATGTGTGTTCATTGGTAGAGATACTATACTTAGATTAATGTGGAGAATGAATTAATAGGCAATTTTCATTGAGAATTAGCGTTTTTTTAAATTATTCTCTGGATCTTATCCTTTGGTAATTGCTACAAGAAATGATTGTGATTATGAATTAAACTGAATTTTCATGTTTGGTTTGATCCTTAGACTATAAATTCTGGGTTTTAGTGATTAAAATTTTCTTTTAAATTCTTATTTGAGAGACAGACATAGAAAGGGAGAGAGAGAGAGTGCTAGTGAGTGAGTGTGCACGTGGGTGCCCAGCTGTTGACCAAGTTCCCAAATGCCCACAGTGGCCCAGGCTAGGCTGGTCTGAAGCTCAGAACCAGGAACTCAACATAGGTCTGTTACATAGGGGGCAAGAACCTACTTACTTAGTCATCACAGCTGCCTTCCAGGGCCCTTATTAGCAAAAAACTGGAATCAGGAGCTAGAGATTGAACCCAAGGACTCTGATATGGGAAATGGGTATCAATGCTGGCCTCATAAATTTTCCTTTAAGATTTATTTATTTATTTGAAAGTCAGAGTTACAGAGAGAGAAGGAGAGTCAGAGAGAGATATATCAAGATACATCAAGAATTAGTCTTAGTCACAATGCAGACCTTTTCCACATATTGAGAGCGTTGGTAATATGAATATAGAAATGTCCATTTTGCAATAGAATGTTATTAATTCCAGGTTTTGACTACTAGCAAGTTTAGCCAAAACTTCAAACTTTGTTAGGCTTCAGATTGCTTGTTTTAGGTGAATTGAAGAGAGGCTTCGTTAATTTTAAATGCTTCTGGAAGTTTCATTGTACTTAGGATTCATCAAACCTTTTGATGATATTTTGCAAAAAGACATGTTTCCATTTATCAGCCTGGTATATATGGTTTATTATTTTGTATTCTATACTAATACAGCAAAATGGAAAGTATAATTTTTGGACTAAAGCTACTTTTTAAAAAATATTTGTTTATTTATTTATTTGGAGGCATTACAAGGAGGAGGGAGGAAGGGAGGGCGGGGGGAGAGAGAGAGAGAGAGATCTTCCATCTTCTAGTTCACTCTCCAGGTGGCCTCAATGGCTGGGGATGGACCAGGCTAAAGCCAGGAGTCAGGGGCTTCTTCTAGGTCTCATGTGGGTGCAGGGGCCCCAGCTCTTGGGCTTCCTTCTACTGTTTTTCCCAGGCCATTACCAGGAGCTGGATTGGAAGTTAGAGTAGTGCCCATATGGGATGCCAGTATCTCAAGCAGTGGCTTTACATACTAAGCCACAATTCTGGCCCCTAAAACTGCTTTTACAACCATAATAACTTCATAATGTTTTCTCAGTTGTTTAAAAATGCAATTTATTCAAGCATAATTCTCATTCTAGATTGTTTTCCTTTTATTTTAATAGATATTCCGCAAATGAGACCAAAGCCACATTATGTCATGATAAAGAAGGATGCTGAAACCAATGAAGCAATCTATTGTACAAAGGAACCTTTTATTAAAGCTCGTGTTATTGTCATTCGTTGGCTTGTTTCTTTCTGGCTAGAGCCAAAACCACATACAGGACCTCATATTCCTGGGATGGAAGGTGAAGTCTTGCCAAAGAATATTCAGGTAATAATACCAAATTAGGCAAGCTTGTTAAAGTTAAAAATTACTTTTGAAATTTAGTCCACTAGTTTCAATTGCTTTCTGTGTATAGTACATTTGAAATAAATAATATTGATACTTTATTTGTATAAATGTATTTTATAAATCTAAATTTTAACCATTATAGGAGTTACAATTTTCTTAATAAAAATAAAACTTGGGATGCATGGGAGATCATTTCAGTTATATATCAGTCTCAGCTTCTAATTTAGTCTCTTTATTTTATTTTAATTGCACCCTAGTCCCCATATCCACAGGGGATACATTCCAAAACCCGAGTGGATGGATGTCTTGAATCTGGGATAGTATTAAACACTTTGTAAATTGTATGTGTTTTCCTACACATACATAACAGTGACAAAGTTTAATTTATAAATTAGGCACAGCAAGAAATTAACAGCAATAATAAAATAAGACTATACTGTAGTAAAACTTATTGTTGTTTATTTTTGGAATCTTCAGTTGGGTAGCTGAAATTGAGGAAAGCAAAAACATAGATAAGCATATACTTGGAGGCCGGCGCTGTGGTGTGGGAGGTAAAGCCGCCACCTGCAGTGTTGGCATCCCATATGGGCACTGTTCAAGACCCTGCTGCTCCACTTCTGATCCAGCTTGCTGCTATGGCCTGGGAAATCAGTAGATGGCCCAAGTCCTTGGGCCCCTGCACCCACGTAGGAGACCCGGAAGAAGCTCCTGGCTCCTGGCTTCAGCTCAGCTCAGCTCAGGCTGTTCTGGCCAACTGAGGAGTGAACCAGTGAATGGAAAACCTCTCTCTCTCTCTCTCTCTCTCTCTCTCTCTCTCTCTGCCTCTCCTTCTCTTTGTGTAACTCTGACTTTCAAATAAATAAATAAATCTTAAAAAAAGAAAAAAGGATATACTATTGGACAGATCTAAAAATACATAATTAATTTTTTTTTTTAATTTGAGAAGCAAAGAGAATAATAGCTTCTGATCGCTGGTTCACTCCCCAGATCCCTGCAACATCTGGAGCTGTGCCAGGCTGAAACTGGGAATCATGAACTCGATCTAGGTTTCATACATGGGTTGCAGAGACCCAGCTCCTTGAGCCATCACCTACTGCCTCCAAGGTTTACATTATGAAGTTAGAATTGCGAGACACCTGGGACTTGAACCTATGCTCTGGATAAGGGATGTGGGTGTCCCCATAAGCAGTTAAATTGCTAGACCAAATGTTTACCCCTACATGTAAATTCTTAGCTTGATAGCCCTGATTAATTTCTAGGCAATCACAGAATGCAGATTTAAAGTCCTGTGTCCCACCGCTTCCTTCGTTTTCTCCTCAAAGACATCAAGTCTAGAAATGTGATAAACATCTATTCAGCAGAGGAACTAATATTTCAAATTTGTTTTCATAAAATTTATAATTCTTTTATTTTATTTGAAATGAGAGGGAGACAGAAAATGGTCTTCTATCCACTGGTTCACTTTCCAAATGCCAGCAACAGCCAAGGCTGGACCAGGCCAAAGCTGGGTGCTAAGGACCCAAGTACTTGAGCCATCACCACTGCCTCCCAGGGTCTGCACTGGCAGGAAACTGGAATGAGGAGTGGAGCTGGGACTCAAACCCAAGCATTTATTTTTTTCTATTTTGTTTTTTGAAGATTTTCTGTCTGTTGTTGATTATATATGGATGTAGAACCTGAGAATATAGAATGCCAACTGTAGAAGTTATTTACTGATTGTTGAAGATACAAGCTACCACTGTTGACATTTGTCTTTCATCTAACTTTAATTAGTAATTTGTTTGATCTGCAAACTTAGAAACAAATCTGTACAACACGAAAAATATTTATAGTCACCCCTCAGTGTCCACTGCAAGTTGGTTCCAGGACCCTCTGCAAATAACAAAGCTACAATTGCTCCTTACATATATATAGTATATCCCTTACATGATATAGTATTTACAAATAACTTGTACATATTCTCTTGGAGACTTTAAAGCATCTCCAGATTACTCATAATACTTAATGCAACATAAATATTTTTCGTGTTGTGAAAGCCTGTATATATTCACTACAGATGGAGTCTGTGTTCAGATATTTTCTGTCTATTGTTGATTATATATGGATGTAGAATCTGAGAATATGGAATGCCAACTGTAGAAGTTATTTACTGATTGTTGAAGATACAAGCTACCACTGTTGACATTTGTCTTTCACCCAACTTTAATTAGTAATTTGTTTGATCTGCAAACTTACTTAGAAACAAATCTGTACAAAATCAAGTGAGTAGATGATTAAATACTCCACATTTTAGAGTATCTCTGTATCAGTTAGATGTTGGATTATTTACACTGCCAGTTCATTATTTAAAATGTACCCTAAATGAAATTCTATGCCTGGATTTCAGACAGTGCTGGAAGTTACTTGTAAAATACTTTGTTTCTGCCAATATTTACTATTAAAAGACAAAATATCCAGTTAAAGGGTTATTAAAGTATTCTTCTCATTTTGTTTTTATTTTAGAGAGCAGCTGCCAGTTTGGTATCCAGAGAAGAAAACAAAAATGATAACGCTGATAAAACTGACAGAACTGCAGAACCAGAGCAGTCTCATTCCAATACAAGCACTCTCACAGAGCGAGAACCCAGCTCATCCAGCCTCTGTAGTATTGATGAAGAGCATCTCACAGATATTGAAATAGTTCGCCGGGTTTTTTCTTCTAAAAGAAGTAATGTAAACTTTGTCACAGAGATATTTCGTCAGGTAAAATACCTTTCAGGATTTTTAATTTGTAATGAAGACCTTTGTTCTTAATATTAATATTCTGATTTCTAGATACTTAAAATATATTCATGGAGATGTTTTTCAAAGTTCACATTTAGTTTTAAAATTTACATGTGATTTTTTAATATTTTCTGTTCATATTATTTAGCTTAAGAACTATTTTTTGTTCCTTGTAGCCCTTCTTTTATCAGAATTTTTCTAAAATTTACTCTTTGCATTGAAACTTTTATTTATATCATTTTATTAATAAATTATAGTAAATTATTTTTATATTCTCTGTTGTCAGTAAAATGCCATTTATGAATATAAAAAGTGATGTTTTCATTCCTTTTAACTTTCCTTCCTAGAGTCAGTTTTGTCCTCCAAGGCAGTTTGAAATTAAGGTTGCTTATGACAAATACTACTTTGGAGAAAAGTTAAAAAGAGAAAAGAAAAGGAAAATAATAAGCTATTTCACATAAAGATAGCTGGAAATTACTAAATGCACATCCTCAGATGCAGATTTGTTGTGAAAAATTGTTCTTTGAAAACTAGCCATTTGAGCTCAGTAGCAAAGGTACTAGCAGGAAAACATTGAATTTTGTTAAGATGAAGGAGAACCATCCAAATCTCATGCCAGTAAATGTAGGGGAAAATATTTTTTTGAGCAAAGCGAAGGACATTTATTGAATGAAAGTTAACGCTCCCAGCAACCAGGAGAGGACCTGAGAGGGTTGCTGACAAAGCTCTTTGTCTAGGGATTTTTACGTTTTTTTTAAATGAGGAGATTCATCTCATTGGCTCTCATGTATGCAAGTAAAGTGAAAACCAGTGAGCCAGTCGTGGGACTGACATTGACATAGCCTACTTTCCATAGAGGAAATTTACAGAGTGCTCAGTCAGCCCTGCATCGAGATATTCAGCAGATGCAACTGAAGACTACATCCTATGTATGTCGCCCATCTCTCTGGGCTCCTGGTAGATAACACCATGTGTGTTTCTTCCTTTCCTTTCTATCAATCCTCCTTCTGCAGAGGTAACCCTTGCTGCCATTAGGGAGAAGGGTGCTGACTGCTCTGATTGCTTTAGCCTGAGAGAGGGAGGTTGTTGAGGGGTGGCAATCAGGGTCCCCCTAGAGGCTTATCTAGGGGTGTTCAGTAGAAGGAGGTTTCCCTGAGAGGTTTCCTTTGCATGACTGTCTGAAGCTTCATTGACTAAACGAGGATATGAATTGGGTTAGATGATTTAAGAGGCGGGGACCAAGACTCAAGGGCTATCAAGAACAAGAGAAGAGGGAACACTAAGGGCTACATCCATCTGAGGAGTTGTTTTTTATTGAGTATTTCCTTTCAGAGAAGTTTTCTGTCTGGGTGTTGATGTCTTCAGCTCCTATGCAGGTGCATAAGCACCTTCCCTGTGTTGTTGCTATAAATACAGTATTCTTTCTTTAGGTAGACACATCCCTCTGGCTTATGCGTCAGGAGATGAAGGTCACTTATGTTTTGGAGGACTAGTCCACAGTCAGGGAATCCAACTGTTTAATTTTATTATTCCTATGTAGTTTATTTTAAACATTTGCCAATTGAGTTGAGAGGTGCGCAGAAGTTCCCCCTGTAGCCACCTCCACTGCAGTGACTAGGCCTGTCAGCAGAGAAGATAAGACCAGTGTTAGGACTGCTCTCTGGGTTCAAGGACAGGAGTGCTAGAGGACTTGCAGCATAGGGGTGTCCCCAGGGGCATAGTCTACAGAGTAGGCTATAAATGCTAAGGAGCACTGGCCCTTCTTGCAGGATCAGGGTGGGGGTAAGGATAAGTAGGCCTGGTTTCCACAGAAAATAGTCTTTATCCCAGATCTAAAGACAGCTGGAACTCATAGAGAAACAGGGTTTTAGGGATCTCAGTATGTTTTCCTATAAATCTGGTTTAGATATAGAGCCTAACAAAGAAAACATTTCAAATGCAGATGTGGCAATTATGTCCCCATGGTAGAACTTTAAGAAGAATTTTTGGGATCCCACCAGTAGCCCGTTGGCTATAGGGATTTGATGTTTACCACAGTCATGGAATCCCATCCTGCCTTCCAGGTGCCATTGGTTTTGGTGCAGAAGGTAGGTTTCTCTTTAGGGAAACATAACATATAGGAAGTATTACCCTTCTGAGGGTCTCTGTACAGTCTAAATTGGGTCTGTTTGCTCAAATTCCAGGATTCCTCCACTGAGGAATAGGTGATTTAAAAGGTGAATTGACATCAGGTTTGGGTAATCCTTCTGCTTCCCTACCATCTAGCCTGTAAGTTTTCAAAGCATTTTTTAGTTTGATAAGCTATTTGGTTTTTTTTTTTTTTTTTTTTTTTTTTTTGACAGGCAGGGTGGACATTGAGAGGAGAGAGAGACAGAGAGAAAGGTCTTCCTTTGCTGTCGGCTCACCCTCCAATGGCCGCCACGGCCAGCACGCTGAGGCCAGCCCACCGCGCTGATCCGAAGGCAGGAGCCAGGTGCTTCTCCTGGTCTCCCATGGGGTGCAGGGCCCAAGCACTTGGGCCATCCTCCACTACACTCCCTGGCCACAGCAGAGAGCTGGCCTGGAAGAGGGGCAACCAGGACAGAATCCGGTGCCCCGACTGGGACTAGAATCCGGTGTGCCGGCCCCGCAAGGTGGAGGATTAGCCTAGTGAGCCTCGGTGCCAGCTATTGATAAGCTATTTGTAATTGCCCCAACTCTATTATTATTGGGGAATCAGTGATCATGGAGAGGTCACACATTTTGGAAGAGAGGTCCTCCTTTAGGGCCTTTAGAAAAGGATCATCCATGACCTTTTATACTGTGTTAGGATAGAGGTATTGAAGGTGGCATTTTGCTAGTCACTGTACTTGGTGGGGACCACTGTCCCCAGGGAGCTCTTCCCATATACCCGGAAATCAGTTAAGTTGAATGCTGTAGTGATTAGCTGGGCCCAGGTAATGGCTTTGTTCATTTTTACAGAAGGAGATTAGATTACAGGTGACAACACAGGGTTCAATCAGGAAAACAGGGCAAGGCAAACAACAAGGCAGTACATGAAGCTTAATCCCAATAATTTGGCAGGATAATGAGGAAATGACCTTTGGCCCAAAGAGACAGGGCTTGAGAATGAATGGTTACTTATCTGCATGTGGAGTGTGCTTTCTCTTGGGTAGTATCTTGAGCTCTTCTGTGGCCTAACAGGAATAATCACCTTCCTTCTCTTCAAAGAGAAGCAGATCTTGAATTGAATTACAGGGTCCTGCTCCAGCAGGAAGGCCTGGTACCTCAGGAAGTGATTGTTAATGAGAGGTTCCCTTCTGAGGATAGTAATCCTGCCACATTGTAGGGAGTATACACTATCAGATGGTTTCCCAAGGTCAGTTTTGTAGCCTCTGGGATCAAAAGGGCCAGTGCACCTTAAGTTGGCTACCCATTGGCTACCACATCAGGTTATTTACTTAAATATCTTACAAGTCTGCTGGGTTGGTCTGCTGGTTTAAGTTAATACACCCAGCACCATCCCTCTTCTTTCTGTTACATACAGATTGAATGTTTCCAGTTGGGAGGCTCAGGGCTGGTGCATCAAGTGGAGCTTGCTTTGGTTGTTCAAAGGCCTGTTGGGCCTTGGGTTCCCATTGCCTGAGTATCCTTTCTTAGCTGTTACAGGAGCAGGCAATTTCTGGATGTCCAGGGATCCACAGTCGGCAGAATCCTGCAATGTCCAGGGAACCTCTTAGAGTTTTAGAGAGGAGAAAGGAAAAGGTGGGCCCAGTCCTTTCCTGTCCCAGTCCCCAGTTCCCTTGAGTATAATCAAGCCTGAATATTTTCCTGAGGGCTGGCAGGGTTGGGTATTCTCGCATAATTAAGAAGGTGTGTGTGAAGAGCAGGTTTTTCCAACTACAACTGTGGTTGTACTGAGAGGAGGGGAGGCCTGAATAAGTGGCCGCAGCATCTAGGAGGAGTCCATTTTCCTCCCCTCCTCTGTTAAGGTCATCTGGGGGCTCATGGATCCTAATCGTGGACTGAGCTGTAGGAGCCAGGGAGGAAGGCCCTAGAGCCCCTCAGTCCCACTGGACTGTTTGTGGGGAGGGCTCTGGACCCAGAGACCTTCACTTTCTGGGACAGCCCACTTGCCAGTGATCCCCATTGTAAATAGGACAAGGTCAGGGTGGCTTCCTCTGCTTGTGAGGACGATCCTCTTGAAATGTCCCAGTTGGCTGCAAGCCAAAGCATTTGTAGGAGCCTCCTGGTGATCCTGAGGTCCATGAGACTGTAGGGTGGCCACTAACGTGATTACCCTCCTTTTCTCTCTCTCACCCACTGCTGGCCTCCTCCTGGTCTTACTGTAAAGGACTGAGGAGGCAACCTTCAGGAGATCACCTAAAGAACTTTCTGGTCCATTGGCTGACTTTCTGTAGTTCTCTTCTGATGTCTGGGGCTGACTGAGTTACAAATTATCCTTTAGAATGACTTGTCCCTGCACTGGGTCAGGAGACAGACAGGTATGTTTAATTAGAGCTCCCAGTCGCTTTTTTTTTTTTAAAGATTTATTTTATTTATTTGAAAGAGTTACAGAGAGAGACAGAGAGAGAGGTCTTTCATCTGCTGGTTCACTTCCCAGATGGCCGGAGCTGTGCTGATTCGAAGCCAGGAACCAGGAACTTCTTCCAGGTCTCCCACATGGGTGCAGGAGCCCAAGGACTTGGGCTGTCTTCCACTGCTTTCCCAGGCCATAGCAGAGAGATGGATTGGAAGTGGAGCAGCCGGGACTAGAATTGGCGCCCATATGGGATGCCAGCACTTCAGGCCAGGGCATTAACCCGCTGTGCTACAGCGCCAGCCCCGCTCCCAGTCGTTTTAAAAAGACAGGGGGCAGGGGCCTTTCCTCAGGGCCCTGAGCTATCATTAATAGGAGTAATTTAGAAGCTCTGCACTGGTTTTCTGCAGTCCTTCCAGTCACATGTGGCTGGAAATGCTTTCTGTTCCATTTTACAAAGGAGCAATCAGTATCCTATTTAGGGTCTTCCAAGGGCACTGCCTGTTGGATATGCCTCTCTTGGAGCTTCCTGACCAAGCAGGTGCCATGGGTCATGAAAAGCTGTGTCCTGTAGTCTTGGCAGCCTGTCGGGCTACCTGTTTTTCTGTTCCAGTCAGAGTTTGGATTAAGAGTAACATCACATCCTTCCAAGATAGTTAAGACACCTGAGTTAAGTCTCAGAAGGCCTCAGCATACTGGTCAGGGTCATCTTGAAAATTTCCCCAAGTTCCCCTTTATTTGCATTAGATCTTGTAAGCAGAAAGGTTAAATAGGAATGCCAGGGTGCCCTTATGTTCCTGCTTGAGGAGATGGCACCCCAAGGAGGACCCGGGTATGGAGGAGAGCATGGCCAGTGGGCCTAGTGGAGAGACCAGACCAGAGCATTCGCATTCACCAGCAGCGAACATGGCTTTTCATATTAGCTGGCAGGCTCCACTTAGGCCTACCCATGCCTTCCCTCATAGTTTTTAAGACCCAGGGTGGAGCCTGGATTACAGGGTCTGTGGATTAAACAAGCTGGGAGGGGACAAAAAGGAGTCCATTAGGTCTTCCACCTCATCACTTTCTAGTTCAAGGCATCTCGTGAACCCCTGGATTTGGTTGGGGTGAGTCAAACCAGCAGCAGTAGACACCCTTAATGCACATGGCCATGATGCTCCTTGTTGAAGACTTCTTGCCTGCATGCAGTAAGCGTATGCCTGAGAGCAGGCTTCCTGGAGGAGTTGATAGATGGTATTCCTCAGGATTGTATTTTGTAGGCTAGGCTTGGATCTCTTATACCATATAGCTTGGCCCAATTGCTCTATGAACTTCCTGGGCCCAAATTTCTCATCCTAATTGTCTGGACCTCTGAAGTCCCATTCTATTAATAGTGGTCAGGGACGTTGGTAAAACTTTCCATCTCCCTTTGATTTGCCCATTTATGTGACCATGGCAGAATAGATGTAGCTATAAAATTATGTCATGGTTTAAGCTCTCATTTTCTGGCTGTACTGTTTGGTCTTCTATATTGTGGCCAGGCATCGGTACAAAGAAAGGTGAGTCATCTCTTTTGTAAGGTCTGGGAATCAAACCATATCTCTTACTAGTGAGTTGCATCATGTAGAAAGTACACAATCTCAGTTAACTTAAACAACTATTACCTCTCCAAGTTGAGGGTCCTCTTCCTCTGAGAGTTCCAGGGATCTGACTGGAAGCCTCAAAGTCAGTTTAGAACTTTCAACAACCGTCGGAGGTTTAAACCATTTGGTCAGAAATAAAAGTGGAAGGAAGACCTCTCTCTGTTTCTTTCTCTCTCTCTCTGTAACTCTGCCTCTCAAATAAATAATGTTTTTAAAAGAAAAAGTTAAAAAAAAAATCCAAGTTCCCCCTGTAGCCACCTCCACTGCAGTGGGGAGGCGTGTCAGCAGAGAAAACAAGACCAGTGTTAGGACTGCTCTCTGGGATCAAGGATAGGAGTGCTTGAGGACTTGCAGCAAAGGGGTGTCCCCAGAGGCATAGTCCACAGCGTGGGCTATAAATGCTAATAATAAATGAAAGGCTGCTTGTGAGAGCAGAATTATTTCATGAGAAAGGATAGTGTTCTGAGATACCACAATGAAAACAAATCTTTGTTCCTGCCACCTGAAGTCAGTAGCTATCTACTACAAATATTTCTGTGTGTCTACAAATGATTTGTACTCAAAGGCGTTTTGCAATAATGAACTGATTAACTTTAAAAATATTGTTTAAAGTTCACAGTTTTAATAAATCTATTGTGGTTTTCATCAAAGGAAAAGGATATCATTATCTCTGTTTCCCCCTCTCCCACCTTTTTTTTTTTGGTTAGGCATTTTTATTACCAATTTGTGAAGCAGCAGCTATGAGAAAAGTGGTAAAAGTATATCAAGAATGGATTCAGCAAGAGGAAAAACCTTTGTTCATGCAAGAGCCTGAGGAAATTGTAATGACTTCTTCAGATTTACCTTGCATTGAAAATGTTACTGATCATGATATTTCAGTGGAAGGAGAAAAACGAGAAGAGGTAAAATTCTAAGACTACTATGTTTTAGCGTAAGTTTAATAGGTTAAAGTTTCACAAAATATGATAATATCTTAACAGAAATATACTTAGGAAATAGGGAAATATATCTTTCAGTATGGTTTAAAATTTAGGTAATATAACAGTAGTTACTTACCTACCTTGTCAGAAAGCTGTGATGTCATAATTTTTAAAAATTAATATTGAGGTGCATACAGATTCTTTAAGTCATTAGCTAGATCAAAATTCGATGCTGTTATCAAAGTACAATATTTTAAACTGTGGTGCTACATAAAAATGGATGTTATTGTACATACTTTATGGGGTAATTACCAAACTACTGTCCTCCCTTCCCTGCAAGTGCAAAGCTTATCTTATTCTAGAAGTAACTATCTAGCACAAACCAGAATTTACTGAATCTTTCCTGGAATCTTGTACTAGAGGTAATTGCAGATATGAAGCTTCCTGACCTGGTGAAATAAGGTGGTCTGTGATAAGAAAGACTAGAGTTTACTCACAGAGGGGAAAAGATGAGAAATGAGAGAAGAGGTATCATTTGGGTCCCTTGTCTCATCCCTTTCTTAAGTCTCAGTGAATTTTTGTTCTTTGCTTGATCAGCCTTTGTCACAGGTCAGGTTCTACAAGAAACAGAAGCAGACATGGAGTTAGGATTAGAAAAAGTTCATATGTTTTGTCTAGTTTGCCTTTTTGCAGAGATTTTGATGACTGGATAGAAATGACTGTGTAAAGTCTGTTCACTTTAATGGTTAATTAAAGTTAATTAACTCACCCATTGGATTTAAACAAGGTATTAATGTGTGAATGAGTAGGCTAATTCTACAGGGATTCAACATTCTGTGTGTGTGTGTGTGTGTGTGTGTGTGTTATCTGTCTCTGTGTATCTGTGTCTATCAGTATATATAGTCACACACACAAATTCAAAGCAGTCTTCTTTACTTCTAAGAAAGGCATAAATGAGACTGGCACTATAGCATAGTAGGTTAAGCTGCTGCCTGTAGTGCTGGTGCCCCATATGGGCTCCTGTTCAAGTCCCAGCTGCTCCTGGGAAAGCAGCGGAAGATGGCACAAGTGCTTTGGCCCTGGTACATATATGGGAGGCCTGGATGAAGCTCCTGGCTTCTGACTTTGGCCTGGCCCAACCCTGGTCCAGCCCTGGCCATATGGGCCATTTAGAGAGTGAACCAGCAGATGGAAGATCTCTCTGTCCATCACTCTCTTTGTAATTCTTTCAAATAAATAATTTTTTAAGAAAAAAGAAAGGGATAAATGCAATTAGGAAATGTAATTTAAGTTAATGAAATTAACCATATAAATTATGTGATTAGATTCACACTATTTGTTAGATATCAAATTTTTGTATCATGCTAGAAAATAAAGGTATCAGATAATGAAATATTGAAGTGCAGCAGCCAGGTCTTGAGTGTAGCAGCCAGATCTTAACCCAGTACCCATATGGGATGAAGGTGTCACAAGTGTTGGCTTATCCTGTTAACGCCACAGCATGGGCCCCGTTTGTATGCTTTTCATGGGTGGGAACTCCCTAGTCTGTAAGCTTATAACAGCTAAGACTTAAGCAGAAAGTTATAGTCTTGGTGGCTTGATGTATCAGTATTCTTAGAATAAGGGGGATTTTGCTATGCTTATGTAGAATAAATATAAATTATTTTCTATTTAAGTTATTAGGATTCTGGATTTAACTTGGAACAATTCATGTTTTACAAAACTGTAAATAGTGTAATCCCATTCTTAAGTATGTGAGAGTGTAGAAGGAAGGTTTATACATTAGAAGAAATACCTTTTATCTGAAATGATATCACCCCTGGTTGGCTTGGGGCTGGTGTTGTGGCACAATGGGTTAAGCTGCCTCCTGCAACATTGATATCCCATGTTGGAGCACCAGTCCAAGTCCCAGCTACTCTTCTTCCCATCCAGCTTTCTGCTAATAGCCTGGGAAAGCAATGGAAATGGCTCAAGTACTTGGGTCTCTACCACCCATGTGGGAGCTCTGGTAGATTTCCAGGCTTCTGGCTTCAGCCTGGCCTCAGCCATTGCCACTATTTGGGTGGTGAACCTGTAGATGGAGGATTTCTTTCTCTTTTTGTTGCTCTCTCTCTCACTGTCACCCTGCCTTTCAAATAATTAAAATAAATCTTAAAAAAAAAAAATCTCTGGATTCTGGCATTGTGGTGTAGTGGGTAAAGCCACATCCTGCAATTCCAGCATCCTATATCGGCTACTTTCATGTCCTGGCTACTTCACTTCCCATCCAGCTCCCTGCTAATGGCCTGGGAAAAGCAGCAGAAGATGGCCCAAGTGTTTGGTCCCCTGCTGTCCACATGGGAGAGCTGGAAGAAGCTTCTGGCTTCTGGCTTTGGCCTGTTCCTGCCTCGGCCATTGTGACCATCTGGGAAGTAAGACAGTCGATGGAGCAGCTCTCTTTCTTTGTCTCTTGCCAACTCTCTGTAACTCTGACTTTCACATGAATAAATAGATCTTTTAAAAAAATCTCTGGCTAACAGTTATGGATGATTTTTATTACTTTATATTTTTGTCAGAACATTTTTTACAGTGAATAGTCATGCTTTTGTAATCAGATAAGGCATCATCTAGTTTGAAAGAAAGAAACAGTATGACCTAACAACTGCATTTATCTTTTCATCTTATTGACTCATTGCTTCATTCTTTTTAATGAAATATTAAAAACTTGATACATTGTTTCAGGAAAATGGGACCAATATTGCTGATCATGTCCGAAATCCCAGTTGGGCAAAAAATGGCTCCTACCCAGATGCTGTTCATAATGCCTCTGAAGAAGCCACAGAAGAAAACATAAGAGCTGGTACCCAGGCAGTTTTGCAGGTGAATCACTTTATGATTATTTTTTTTTAAATGTTAGAATTTCAGATAAATAGTTTATAGAATAATTTTTACAATTTACTAAAGTCACCATCCACATTTGTCAATTGTCATCTGTAATAATATTTGTTTTTTCTTAACTTTCCCTTCATAATATATATGTTGATAAACTTTCCATATTATTGTTCTAGACTGTTTCTTCTGGCTTCAGCCTGGCCTCAGCCGTTGCTACATAAATTGTGTACATAAATTGTGTCATGGTGTAGAATTTCCATCTGCTCACTTCTAGATAGTGCTGCAGGGAACATTCTATTTATACTTGTATTTTTGTACATGTCAGAGAGTTTCCCTAGGGTATATAACAAAAATAGAATCGCTTAGTCATAGGACTTGTACGTTCTTAGATTTACTTTACTAATATTTGCCAAATCATTCTCCAATATTTTTTTTTTTTAGATTTTTATTTATTTATTTGAGAGGTAGAGTTACAGACAGTGACAGGGAGAGACAGAGAAAGAGATCTTCCTTCCATTGGTTCACTCCCCAGATGGCCGCAACGGCCGGAGCTGCGCCAATCTGAAGCCAGGAGCCAGGCAGTGCTTCCTCCCAGTCTCCCACCTGGGTGCAGGGGGCCCAAAGACTTGGGCTATCTTCCACTGCTTTCCCAGAACATAGCAGAGAGCTGGATTGGAAGAGGAGCAGCCAGGACTAGAACTGGCGCCCATATGGGATGCCGGTGCCACAGGCGGAGGATTAACCAAGTGAGCCACGGCGCCGGCCCCCTCCAATATTCTTACTATGCTTTGCAGTCCCTCCCCTAGTATTTGTGAGTCTCATTTCCACATATCCCCGGTTACTTACATTACGAGATTTTGATTTTTTGCTACTTATATATGTATATATATGTGAAATATTCTCATTTTTAAAAAATTGTGTTTTCTTGTTTTTATTTGCTTTTCCTTCACCAGTACTGTGTTGAAAATCTTTTCACATCTGTGATTTGCCTATTCATATGCTTTTTTTTTTTTTTAATTTTTTTTTGACAGGCAGAGTGGACAGTGAGAGAGAGAGACAGACAGAGAGAGAAAGGTCTTCCTTTTGCCCTTGGTTCGCCCTCCAATGGCCGCCACGGCTTTTCATATGCTTTTTCCATTTTATTATTGGATGTTTGTCCTGTCCTTAATTATTTGTAGGACTTCATGATATTCTTTTTTTTTTTTTTAATGAAATTGTTTTGATCAATGCCACGTGTGACTCATGTGTTGTTGAATCAGATAAATGTTTTTCAATCTTAAACCTGCTTGATTTATCAGGGGCGTTATACAGAATCACTCATTTCTCCATTGAAACTAGAATATGAAGCCTTCCTGTTTTCCTCTGCCTCCCTGGCCACTTCTCAAATCAGATCTTTACTGTTTTTCCATATCTCTCTGACCTTTTCAAGTTGAAGTGCCTAGGAATCAGTTCTTAAATCTCTTTTCTGTTTATGCTTGCACTCGACTTGTTTTCCTTGGCTGCCTTCTGTAGTAATCTTACATTGCCTAGATAAACATAAAAGTCGGTAAGTTTAAAGAGTACATTTCAGGGCCAGTTGTTCAGCCTTGTGGTTAAGCTGCTGCTAGAAATGCCCACATCCCATCTGTGAGTGTCTGGATTTGAGTTCCAATTCCACCCCTGATTGCAGCTTCCTGTTAGGAGGAAGCAGGAGGCAGCAGGTGACGGCACAGGTAGTTGGGTCTCTGCCACCCGGATGGGAGATGTGGACGGAGATCCCAGCGTAGATCTTTGGGCTGGCTCAACCTTGTATGTTGGAGGAATTTGGGGAGTGAACTAGTAGATGGATGTGCGTTCTCATTTGAATCTCCAAAAAAATTTTTTAAAGAAAGTTTAAGTTCCAGATGTAATGCTGGTGGTAGAAGTAAGATTAGAATTAACTCAGCACAGTGCTCTTAGATTTGTTTCAGATCACCTAGTGATTAGCATCTAAGTATGTTTCGAATGAGAAATTTATCGTTGAAATTCTGTTGTGAATAGCTTGTGATTTCTTTTTTCATAGGTGTTCATTATAAACTCATCAAACATATTTCTCCTTGAACCTGCAAATGAAATAAAAAATCTCCTGGATGAGCACACAGATATGTGTAAACGTATTCTTAACATTTACCGGTACATGGTTGTGCAGGTATCAATGGACAAAAAAACCTGGTAAAAATTTTTTATCCTTTATATGTGTGGGGATTTTTTTAACTGTATACACAAGTATAGTAATTGTAAGAGAAACAGTATCTATGAATAGGGTTTGCTACAATATTGTAGTGGCTCCTGCTAATGAATGAATATTTTATGTAATAATTATTGGGAGAGTAGTCCATTTAGCTTTATCTTAGACATCTTTGATCAAACTTCACAAAACCCTTTGGATTATCTTCTGAAGTGAACATAGGAAGCCCCTAACACCAACAAGGGATATATGCATACATGCATATATATGTGAATAAGTGAATGTATACATATGTGAGTTAATGAATGAATATGTGATGACTGAATGTATGAATGCCTCATTAGAGTTCAGAGCCTTGTATAGGCAGACCACTTGCCTAATTTTTCCTTCTTGCTTTTCCTTTATTCAGCCTTCCATTTACCTTTCAGGATAGTGCCCTGCCTCCCAGAATTTATCAAAATGCTCTTCCATGAGCACTTTCTGAACTTTTCTTTAGAATGTCTAATTCCTGTCTTGTTTTCCTATTGTCACCATAATTGTCCTTTGGATTCTGCCCCCCTCCTCCTACATATCCTTACCTGCATTTTCCTCTCACTTCCTTTTATTCTGTATTGATATCTCTGTATAGTTATTGTCAAAATTGTATTGATCACTAAATTATTTCTATGAGTATGTCTCTTTTCCTCACTGAATTGAGAGGTCCTAGAAAGTATATCCAGGTTCTCATTTTAATGTTTCCTACATTTCTTACCATAGTGGATCATATATTGCAGGTACTCTGTAACTATTTACTTAATTAAGTGGAAAAACAGTCCATTTTGAAATATGGGAGAGAAGTTCTGCAGTACATAGGTATCATAAAATTCCAGCAAAGAAAAGTTCAACAAAGAAAAAGTTATCCAAAAGCTCACTCTCTAGAAAAATTAATTGCTGTCTAGTGAGCAGCCAGCTTACCATACACACCCTCAGATATATAGATTACAGATTTAACATCCCTAATCCAAAAAAGTCCAAAACTGAAAACTTGAGTACTGACATGTTGATATAAGTGGAAAATTCCACACCTGACCTCATGTGATGGGTTACAGTTAAAATGAAGATGCACTAAAAACATTATGTAAAATTACCTTCAGGCCATATTTATAAAATATCTATTTAACATAAATGGGTTTCATATTTAGACTTGAGTCCTATCTCCAATATATCTCATGCATATGCAAATATTTGAAATTCTGAAAAAAAATCCAAAATCTGAAACATTTCTGATCCCAAGCATTTTAGATGAAGGATACTGAGCCTCCATGCTCTGCGTGTACCATATCCTTAACCAGTCCCTGTTGATGGACATGTAGTTATTTCTTTTTGTTCTCGGGGCAGGTAAGAACATTGACTATCCTTGCATGTATTTAATTTTGTTTCTTTGACTCATTTTTGCAGCATAGAGTACTTGCTCAAAGGATATGCCTAATCTCTGTTTTGCAACATACAGAAAAATGGTGTTACTTTGAAAAAGTTCTTTATTAACAGTATTATTAGAACTAGATGTATAAGTAGTTACTTTTATTAACATTTTAATATTCTTTTGTGTCATATCTCTGCACTCATGTGCATTTTCTTACTTCACCCTTGCAATACCCTATGACTTAGCTATTATCTCTATTTTATATGGGGTAATTCTCTATTTTATAAATCTCTATATGGGGTACACCAAGATTAAGTAACTTGTCCTTGTCCACTTAACTAGTGAGTAGTGGACAGAGATTCGAACCGTGGTCTTTCTGAGTTTATTAACTATACTGCATTAGACCAGTGCTTTGTTCTTTTTTTTTTGTTTTTCCTTCTACATGCTTTGAAGATGATGAGCAGGGTTATAGTAACAAACTTTGCTATATGAACACAGTTTTATAGTTTTTTTTTCTTATTTTTAAAGTTCTCTCAAAATTACAGTACTTTGAAGGATTATCTGCAGTTCAATTTTCAATATTTTATTAATTAAAACCATTTTTGTATTACAAAGTGAATTTGTTTTCTGATATATAAGTGAGTTATGGTTTAACCAACAGATCAGATGGGATTTATTTGAGAAATGTATGCCTTTTAGAATATGTAGTTGATTTCAAATAGCTTTTTATTTCACATAGCTAAATTGGAAGCCCAGGGTTATAAAGGTGGACTTTAATTTTTATTCTGTGAATTAATGCATGTATTTGTTTGCCAACAATTAGAGTATCTTTTATTGAGTGATAGTTTTATATTTGATTTTGTCCTCACTTCACAGAAAAACCGTGACATGTAGATCTGAGATCTGTTGCTATCTATGCCACATATCTTAGAGTGACTCTCTCATATAGTGCTGTGCCAGAATGGGCCTTTCAAATTAGCCAAAGAGGAGGTGACTTGGATGGGTGCCTGGGCTTCTGCTAGCTATCTATATACTCAGCTGAAATTTCCTTGTCATCCTTTTGTTCATATGTGATTGAATCAATTTCTGGATATCAGGTGCAAATATGATAGTTTTATGGTTTTAATAATAAGCCCCTGGGAGAAAGAGTCATAGTAAGGATAGTATTAGAATTTGCTTGAGTTGACTTACAGAACACAGAAGAACAAAAAGATTTAAAAATGGCCAAAATAGAATGATGGCTTTTGGTTAGTTGGCAGATCCTTTGTGATCTGTTAACCTTACAATATCTGGCAGTTTTTGAGATTGAGGCTGATAGAATTCAAGATAGAGGTGGTTGTCCTCCATTTTTATCAAAATGGATTAGATGGACAAGTTAACAAGGTAAAACTGTATGGTATAGATTAAGTGTTCTTTGAACAGCTGTCTAATGTTGCTGCTTGATTTGTGAGTGGGAGGGAGAGTGGAAGCAATCTCAGGATTATCACCCCGGTTCATTAGCTTTTGCACAGATTTTTATTTTATGGTAGGGTGGTATGGCTGAAAATGTTCTTAAAATGGCGGATATATATGTATAAAGTGAAATATTAAAAGTTTTAATAATGAAGGAATTCTAAAAGTTTGAAACAGTCTTTCAGAGATATTTAGTATTTGAAGAATTCCAGAGGTAACAAGGTAATATTTTTAATAACAAATATTAATTTGAAAGTTAACCGTTAATCAAAAGAAAACACGTCCAAAAAGGAAACATTAATTAATCTTTTTACTTTAAGGGAACAGATGCTGCTTGTATTGCTCAGAGTCACGGAATCTGTACTGAAGATGCCATCACAAGCTTTTCTACAGTTCCAGGGGAAAAAAAATATGAACTTGGCAGGTCGACTTGCAGGACCACTTTTCCAGGCAATAAAAATAAATAGATGAATAGATATGTATTTTTTAAACAATTTATTGAACCCTGAAATTCTTACCTGGGAAAAAGTTTTAAATAAGAAATTATTTCATATTGAAGAATCTTTCATTGACTTAAAATTTACTCACTTAAGTAGGCTATTTAGCATACCTACAGATGCATAACCCTAGTGTAACAGTGGATAAAATACCAGGTTATAAAGTATGTAACAGACTGATGATAATTTTACATCATGTGGCAAAGTTACGTATGATCCCATGAAGCTGGCATAGAGGGTTTCAGGAGTAATGGCCTCATTGTTTTCTTTATGAGTTTCCAAACATCTGGGATTGTTAGGAAAACACTTTAAGTTGTTCGTAGTAATGCAAAAATAATAAATAATCAAGATTTATTTTGATTGTGCTGCTCCAGAAGACTTTATTATCCTTATTTCTTAACTTGAACTATCAGTGGTAGTTTATTATACAGGAATTCCATACTGTAGTTTCCAACCTGGGGATACAGTGCTGACTTTATATGTACAAGGTATCTTCAAAAAGTTCATGACATGCACAGATTATGAAAAAAACCCCACATGAACTTGAAAACTTTTTTGCATTAACATAAACTATCATTTCATTCCATTTTTCCACAAACTTTTTGAAGTATTCTTGTATTATGGATTCCTTGAAAGGTAGAAAACAAAATAATATTTTAAGGTATCACATTAAATGCAAATAAAGGGATAAAATAATTTTTTTGAATGTATTTGAAAGACAGGTGCATCTCCTGTCTGCTGATCCATTCCTCAAATGCCCCCATATAGCCAGGACTGGGCCAGGTAAAAACCAGGAGTTAAATACATGTCTTCCACATGGGTGGCAGGAACTAAACTACTTGAGCCATCACTTACTACTTCCCAGGGTGCACATTAACAGGAAGCTGGAATGGAGAACAGAGTCCCCCAGCATGGGATGTGGTCATCCCAAGCTACAGCTTAACCAGACATCTGCCCCAGATAAAATGGTTCTTAATGTCAAAGATAAAACTATTTGAAATGTAACTTAAGTCCTTAAGTAGTATAACCATGTAAATTGTCCCCATCTCACTAGGATAAAAGCCATTTAATTGAAATCCAGTGCTGATGCTAAATAACCTTTAAACCAGCTACCTGTATTATCCAAGCTCCTTTTTACTTTATGAGCTTTTTTACCTGCCCCCATTCCCATATCTTCATTGTTACACCCAATGATGGGAAGTATATAGGAAAATAAAATTTTAGCTTGTTATATGAAATAACTTTTTTTTTGTATTCTGAACATTTAAAGATTGAATGTTGGGGGGGGGAGGTCGGGCAGCGCTGTGGCGTATCAGGTAAAAGCCGCCGCCTGCAGTGTCAGCATCACATATGGGCGCTAGTTTGAGATCTGGCTGCTCCACTTCCAATCCAGCTCTCTGCTATTGCTTGGGAAAGCAGGAGGATGGCCCAAGTCCTTGGGTTCCTGCAACCATGTGGGAGACCTGGAAGAAGCTCTTGGTTCCTGGCTTTGGATCGGCCCAGCTCTGGCCTTTGCAGCCACCTGGGGAGTGAACCAGCAGAGGGAAGACTTCCCTCCCCTCCCCCCCACCTCTCCCTATCTGTAACTCTGCCTTCAAATAAAATAATTTTTTTTTAAAAAAAAAGATTGAATAGGAGGTTTCTAAATGACTGTCCTATAGTCTGCTGATTTTTATCTTTTCATTTCATGTGTAAATTTATGTGAAATTCCTTAGTAAAGTTTGTAGAGTTAAGCTTTTAAAAAAATTTTGTTTTCTTGTATTTTCAGTAGAAATCCACAAAATCTCAGGGAGTACTGCCTAATCAGTAGTTTCCGATCTTTTAGGAGTTTTTTTTTTAAATTCTATAATTGATTTATTTGAAATCTTCTAATTCTTCTGGTGTCTTTAATAGATTTTTATCTTCAGTTTATGTGTAATTTTTCTGTTTTCTGAAATTATTATTATTTTATTTTGAGAGGCAGATGGGGGCAGAGAGTACTCCCATCTACTGGTTTACTTCCCAGATGTCCTCAACAGGTGGGGCTGGGCTGAGGCTAGAGAGCTGGGAGCTGGGAGCTAGAATGAAATCCAAGTCTCCCTCAGGGGTGGCAGGAACCCAGTTACTTGGCTGTCACCACTGCCTCCCGGAATCTGCATTGACTAAAAGCTGGAATCAGGAGCCTGAGCTTAAACTGTAACTCCAGGCACTTTGATGTGGGATACTGGCTTCTTACCTGCTAGGCCAGACATCTCACTAGTTCACATACAATTTTTCAAAAACACGTATCATTAAATATATCTCTAGTTCCTTGTTTTTTTTTTTGTTTTTTTTTTTTTTTTTTTTCATTAAGAAAGAATTTCAAATTATATAGTAATTTCCAAATTTTGGAAATGTAGGTTTTTTTTTTTTGTTTTTTTTTTTGTTTTTTTTTGTTTTTTTTGTGAAAGAGTTACAGAGAGGAGAAAAAGAGAGATTGAGATCTTCCATCTGCTGGTTCACTCCCCAGATGGCAGCAACAGCTAGCTAGGGCTGGGCCAGGCTGAAGCCAGGAGCTAGGAGCTTCCTCCAGGTCTCCCAGATAGATGTGGGGACCCAAGGATTTGGGCCATCCTCTGCCGCTTTCTCAGGCCATAGCAGAGAGCTGGATTGGAAGTGGAGCAACCGGGACTCGAACCTAGTGCCTATATAGGTGATGCTAGCTAGCATCACAGGCAGCAGCTTAATCCGTTACAACAAAATACTGGCTCCAGGTTTTGGCTTTTATATTTCAGTAACTCAGCAGTTTGTTTGTTTCTATTTTTATTTTTATTTTTATTTTTTTGACAGGCAGAGAGACAGAGAGAAAGGTCTTCCTTCCGTTGGTTCACCCCCCAAATGGCTGCTACTGCAGCGCCGATCTGAAGCCAGGAGCCAGGTGCTTCCTCCTGGTCTCCCATGCGGGTGCAGGGCCCAAGCACTTGGGCCATCCTCCGCTGCCCTCCCGGGCCGCAGCAGAGAGCTAGACTGGAAGAGGAGCAACCGGTACAGAATCCGGTGCCCCAGCCGGGACTAGAACCCAGGGTGCTGGCACCGCAGGCAGAGGATTAGCCAAGAGAGCCATGGCACCGGCCTCAGCAATTTCAATACTTAGTATAAGCACTCTTATTTCTTTTTAAATAGCATTTATTTTATTCAACATTAATGTAACATGAAGGATAATTATAACTTTAGGGAGATTTTTCAATGTGGGTTGTCGGGGGCAGCTAGTGGTTGAAATGAAATTTATAGTAGATGTTGATAATTGCATGAATTGCTTTTTACAAATACTATCCATGAAGAAAACATTCATATTATGTGATTTAAAACTCTTCTTGTTTTTAGGTAATGTTTTTTAGAATTGAATATCTGATTTTATAGTTACACACTAAACACATTCCATTGTTATTTCTGATTGTTTGTCTTTGTAGACTCTTATAGTTGCCTGGATCAAAGCAAATCTAAACGTGTACATCTCCCGAGAACTTTGGGATGACTTATTATCGGTATTGTCATCACTGACCTATTGGGAAGAGTTGGCCACTGAGTGGTCGCTGACTATGGAGACACTAACTAAAGTTTTAGCTAGAAATCTGTATAGTTTGGATCTCAGTGATTTACCATTGGATAAACTGAGTGAACAAAAACAAAAAAAGCACAAGGGGAAAGGTAAGAGTTGTTCACAGAGATGCTCCATGTAAGCTTACTTGACTAACTGAATAGCAGAAAACCAAGCCAGGGAGAAGGTGGAGAGTAAAAATGATGTTCCTTATTCATTATTCCCTCTTTTATTTATCCTGGAGGGGTAGCATTTTCAACGATAAAACAAGGAAGTACCTTGTAGTTTTTCTTAATATTTAAATAAATAGTATGTTGATAGGAGATAGAGTATTCTATACATTTCTAATTAAGATTAAATACATAATTTAGAGTCTTAAATATTTTAAGTAATTAACCAAAATAGAAATTTGTAAAGTGCTGTTCCTTTTTATTATAAATAATTTTCGTGATTTCATGTTACTTTCTTGAAAATTTATTATGAAGATTGTTTGAAAAATCCTTTCGAAAGCATTTTTTTTTTTTTTTTTGGACAGGCAGAGTTAGACAGTGAGAGAGAGACAGAGAGAAAGGTCTTCCTTCGGTTGGTTCACCCCCCAAATGGCCACCATGGCCGGCACATTGCACCGATCCGAAGCTAGGAGCCAGGTGCTTCCTCCTGGTCTCTCATGCGGGTGCAGGGCCCAAGCACTTGGGCCATCCTCACTGCCTTCTCAGGCCACAGCAGAGAGCTGGACTGGAAGAGAAGCAACCAGGACAGAATCTGGTGCCCCAGCCAGGACTAGAACCCTGGGTGCTGGCGCCGCAGGTGGAGGATTAGCCAAGTGAGCCGCGGCTCCGGCCTTGAAAGCATTTTCTTAATTTGAACTAAAAGCAGACATTCCCTAAGTGTGAATTATCTACATGATGTTAAAAGGGAGTGAGCAGTAGCATAATGATTATGTCATTTATACATTTATTTATGGTCTTTAATTTGTTAGTATTTTGTATTGTTAGTAGATTATGTTTAAATTGCATCTCATCCTTAATTTTTTCTACAAGGTATTAAGTATGTGCTCAAACTACTTTTCCCTATACTAATTGTATTCCAAGTGGGTATTTATTGGTAGATGGAGAGTTAGTAACCATCACTGGATTGGTTTTGGTTAGCTCATTTACTGTGTTTCTTGGCTTGCCCATATGTTCATTTCTATTACAAGGCAAGTGAGTGGCAGAGAATTCATAGTAGTTTATTGTTGACGTATAATTTAAAAACTTTGCATAAATTTTATAATATGATTTTTACATAAAATGAAGCTCAAAAATGCTTTGTAGTACATAGTATCTTGTCGTGTTACTTTATAATTAATTATGATTAAATTTACTAGTCTTAGGCATGGTACTACCCGTAATTTGAAGGTGTTACTGATCAGGTGACAGTAACTGAAATTGAAAAATCTGCATTTCTAGGAGTTGGACATGAATTTCAGAAAGTTTCAGTTGACAAGTCATTTTCCAGAGGATGGAGTCGTGATCAACCTGGCCAAGCCCCAATGAGACAGAGAAGTGCAACAACCACTGGTTCCCCAGGAACTGAAAAGGCGAGGAGCATAGTACGGCAGAAGACTGTCGGTATGTTCTCTGGAAAATCGTGAGAGTTGTAGGCCAGTGCACTTAATGTCTACTTTTCCTAACAGTTAATTTTGCTTGTGAAAATAAATTTTTTTCAGTAGTGTTCAGAGACTAATGACATGCTGGGTTATCCTTTTGTGCTATTAAAAATGTATCATATTATTGTTCTTACATAGTTTACTTTAAATATTCCTAATTTTAAAATGTTATTTTACAGAATTGAAGAACTAGTACTCTGATTCACTTTACAGAACTCAACAGTTAACCATTATTGCTTATATTAAATGAATACACTGAACAGTTACAGAGGGTAGCCAATTTTCAGTGCTCCAATTATAGAGTTAGATTGGCTTCCCAAGCTTCTAATAGGGGGTTCATGCTGTCCTGATAGAGGAGGCCAACATGGAGCCTCTTGTTTGGTTACCTGCTGCTTGTAACAGATATGGATGAAATTTCTGTAATTCCAGAAGCAACAATCATGGGAAGAATTTGAGTGTAGGATCACTCAGCGTACTGTGGCCTAGCTTTCATCTTACTGCTTTTCCTCTCAGAGGTTTATAACTTAGTATGAATTGTAGCAGAAGGAGTACTGCATGAAAAACAAGAAGAGCTTAGGCCTATTACTTTTCTTTTTGTCTTTCATCACTGTAATCTTAAACAACCAAATAATTCTATAATATTTGTTATAAATAAGATGTTTCTCATACCTAAAGGAAAACTGCCTAAAGTTATTTTAAGATTTATAATCTATGATTTTATGAAATGAGAATATAAATAGGAATATATATTTAATGGTAAATAGTCAGGAACACTATTAATTTTGAAGAAATTTAAATTTGTTGTTATAAGGATATATCTTCTATGCAATGAAGGATTCTGAAGTGTGAAGAATTACACAAATTTAACTGAAAAGTGATCCCCTGTTAAATATAAGAGTGGGAATGGGAGAGGGAGGAGATACACAGTTAGGCACATGCTCAGTCGGACTTGCCCCTAACGGTAGAGTTAGAAACTTGTCAGGGGATTCCAGTTCAATCCCATCAAGGTGGCATGTACCAATGCCAACTCACTAGTCAAAGTGATCAGTTTCAGTTCATAATTGATCATAAAGATAGGATTAAGAGTCAAAGGGATCACATAAACAAGACTAGTGTCTGCTAATACTAACTGACAGAATCAAAAAGGAGAGAATTATCCCACATGGGAAGCGGGATACACAACAGACTCATAGAATGGCAGATGTCCTAAACAGCACTCTGGCCTCAGAATCAGCCCTTAAGGCATTCGGATCTGGCTGAAGAGCCCATGAGAGTATTTTAGGCATGGAAAGCCAAGCACTCTGGCAAAACAAAACAAAACAAAAACAAAAAAAACAAAGACCTAAATGAAAGATCTCTGTGAGGGAGATCCCAGCAGAAAGAACAGGTCGTCAAAGAAGAAGGTACCTTTCTCTGAAGGGAGGAGAGAACTGCCACTTTGACTATGACCCTGTCAGAATAAGATTGAAGTCGGCGAACTCAAGAGGCTTCCATAGCCTTGACAATTAATGACAAGAGCCTAGGGTGATTATTGATGCCATAAATAAGAGTGTCAATTGTTAAGTCAACAACAGGAGTCACTGTGCACTTACTCCTCATGTAGGATCTCTGTCCTTAATGTGTTGTACTATGTGAATTAACAGTATAACTAGTACTCAAACAGTACTTTATACTTTGTGTTTCCATGTGGATGCAAACTGTTGAAATCTTTACTTAATATATACTAAATTGATCTTCTGTATATAAAGATAATTGAAAATGAATCTTGTTGTGAATGGGATGGGAGAGGGAGTGGGAGATGGGATGATTGCGGGTGGGAGGGAGTTTAAGGGGGGAAAAAGCTGCTATAATCCAAATGTTGTGCTTTGGAAATTTATATTTTTTAAATAAAAGTTTAAAAAAAAGAATTAACAGGCCAGCACCGTGGCTCAATAGGCTAATCCTCCACCTACTGGTGCTGGCACACCGGGTTCCTGTCCCGGTCAGGGCACTGGATTTTGTCCCAGTTGCTCCTCTTCCAGTCCAGCTCTCTGCTGTGGCCTGGGAGTGCAGTGGAGGATGGCCCAAGTCCTTGGGCCCTGCACACACATGGGAGACCAGGAGGAAGCACCTGGCTCCTGGCTTCAGATCAGCGCGGTGCGCTGGCCGCAACGTTCCGGCCGCAGCAGCCACTGGGGGGTGAACCAATGGAAAAGGAAGACCTTTTCCTCTGTCTCTCTCTCTCTCACTGTCCACTCTGCCTGTCAAAAAAAAAAAAAAAAAAATTACAATTTGAAAGGAGGAAATGAAACTAATGAGAACAGAGAAATTAAAAATTGTAAAAGATTTATAAATTGTAGATAATTTAAAATCCTTTAAAAGGATTAACATTTTTAGAATTCTTATAAACATACAGCTCTATTAATTGTATATGCCAAAGTAGAATAAGAAATGATATAAAGAATAATAATGTTGATGGATTAAAATTAGTATACTTAGGAATCTTGATGTAGAAATAATTGTTGGACTTCTACAGAAAATGCCAATGATGACTTGATTTTAATGCCATATTTATATAAGATTTGTTTATTAGGAAGAAATTATTTTTTTAAGATTGATTTATTAATTTGAAAATCAGAGTTAGAGAGAGAGAGAGAGGTCTTCCATCCACTGGTTCACTTTCCAATTGACTGCAACGGCCAGAGCTGAGCTGATCCAAAGCCAGGAGCCAGGTAGGTGCTTCTTCCTGGTCTCCCATGTGGGTGCAGGGGCCCAAGGATTTGGCCCACCTTCTACTGCTTTCCCAGGCTACAGCAGCGAGCTGGATCGGAAGTGGAGCAGCCGGGACTCAAACCGGCGCCCAAATGGGTTGCCGGCACTGCAAGTGGCGGCTTTACCCGCCAGGCCATAGTGCTGGCCCCGAAATTCTTCTCTTCAGTTTGTTTTTACTTCATTTAAATCCTTAAGTACCTTATTTTTTTTTTCTCAATACAGAAGTAGTCTATGTTTAGTGTGAAAATTAAAATCTAAGGAAAGATAATGGCCTACTAGTTGGCTCATGACCATGATCATTGTATTTTAATTTTTTCATTTGTATATATTTTAGAAACATAACTTTAGGAAATAGTAATTCTTCCTACCCTCCGACCCACACTCCTACCCCTCTTCCTCTTCCCTGCCTTGTTTTTTCACTAAGATCTATTTTCATTTAACTTTATACACAGAAGATTAATTCTATTCTAGGTAGAGTTCAGCACTTTGTATGAGGGAGAAAAAAATTAAAACAAACAAAAAAACTAAAAACAAAAAAATGTTAAAAAAAAAAAAAGAACAAAAGCTATTCCTCAACAATTCAGACAAGGGCTTTTCAAAGTCATTGGATCTCGATGATAATTTCACTTTTTTTTTTTTGAAACTTAATTGTCTTTAAAGAGGAACCTAAGAATGATACATATTTTGCAAGCACTTAGACATAACTGTAACTTGTGTGACATAAGAATATCCTCCATTTAATACTCTAAAATGAAGTAATTCTTTGAGAACAAGTGTTATTATTAAGTCTCATAATAGAACTCTTTGAGGACAGGGGTTCTGCATGGGAAGTTAGCACACAGTGGCTCCTGTTTGTGTGTGTGTGTGTGTGTGTGTGTGAGACATCAGTGATCACCCAAGGCTCTTGACAAGAGCTGCCTAGGCTATGGAAGCCTTTTGGATCTACAAACTCCTTCAGTATTTCGACAAGGCCATGGACAAAGTGAAAACTCTCCTCCCTTCGGAGGAAAGTACATTCTTCTTTGGTGACCACTGCTTTCCACTGGGGCCTTGCCCACAGAGGTACTTCATGTAGAATATTTTTTGGCACAGTGTCTTACCTTTCCATGCCTGAAAGCCTCCCTTGGGCTTTTCAGCCAAACCAGAATGCCTTAAGGGTTGACTGTGTAATCAGAGTTCTACTTAAGACGATTGTCATTCTATGAGTCTTCTGTATGGACTGCTTCCCATATTGGAGCATTAATCCTTTTTAATTATGTCTGTTATTATTACCAAACCACAGTGATCATTGTTAACCTGTTGTAGTATTTCTTTCTAGTTTTAAATAGCATGGTATGAGTAAAGTATTAATCTTGAATTTATAGCTGACTGTGATTCTTTTCGTGCACTTCTCAAATCAATCTTACGTGTCAAACAAACTAGCATTAAAAATTTTGTTACGAAAAATACCTGCTTTTATAAAGTGGGAAAATTTTATAAGGAGCAAGAGATTAAATTAAGTTATTCTTTAGACATATATTTTATTAAATTTTTAAGGTTTCTTTTGTATCTTTAGTAAATGTTCATGATTAAAAATTCAGACTGTGAGAAAGTATACACATTGTAGTAAGTCTTTCCTTCAGTAGTTCCCACTCTCCCAAGTCACCTCACTAGAGAGAGGCACTGTTACCAGTTTCTTGAGTATCCTTCTTGACATACTTTATGCATATACAGACATATAGCATAATGTACACACTGCTGTGAACCATAGCTTTTTCACACTTGGATAGGAAAAGTTTGCAATTAGTGGATGAGAGCTGGCAGTTCTGTTGTTGGTAGGAGACATGTAATAAACAGACTAACCAGTAACTGCTAGCAAGCAGTAAGTTATAAAGAAGAGAAACGCAAGGTAAAGGACTGGAGAGTGATAAGGGCTCGGGAAACAGGACTGTCTGGGTTAGGGAAGTCAAGAAAGACTTCTTTTGTTGTATGATCTAACAGAGATCTGAATAAAGTGAGAGGCTGAGCCGAAAGAACAGTTACACAAAATGCCATACAACCAGAAGAAAAAGTATAACAGCCCTGGAACCAGGAATGTATTTGGGTGTTTAAGGAAGTGTAAGGAAATCAGTGTGGCTGAAGTGGAGTAAGGACGGAGAAGAGTGTTAAGGGACGAAATGAAGTTATAATGATCTATATTAAAATTATCACATGTCAAAAAGTGTTGAACTT